GAGTCTGCACACACGAAGCTCGAACGAGACTCGACGCACGTAGCTTAGTCCGCGCATCGTCGACATGCAGAAAAGCGCGCTGAATAAACACTCCTGACAGCGTGCCTGTAACGAGTTTAAAATCTAACGATATCCCACCGGTTTAAAACACGGCCGATGTTCGCCGGCTATCGAACAATCGCCTACACAACAGAAATTTCGATACCCGTTTTGTATTCATTTCCGCCTATCGGCTGATATCGATATTCTTCTTTTTTCTACCTAGTGAGCAATTACAAAACGATTGGCGTTGATCGTTCGTTATTAAATCATTTGCATCATTAGGTAATTGTATTCAATTTTTGTTTCATATAAAATGCGCGATTTTTTTCGAGATTCTCGTTAGATCTCAAAACTTTTTTTTGGGTACAAATTATTGAATCGATTACTTCGATTCGATACTTCAATTAGAGACTGATAAATAATTCTAAATTAAACATAGATGTATCTTATTATTATTCAAAGAATATATAGTACTTGATTTAAATCTTATTATTATGTTTTCAAAGAAAATTTTATTTAATTATAGCATTCGTGAAATGTTCTTTTAATTTTACATTTCTCATTTTGATATATTTGCATGGTTGAAAACAAAATGAAATTATATTTTATGAGTTTATACATAGAAGTTTACATATAGAGTCGTTTTCAGTATATTTACGAAAATTGAATTGTTAAATATTTAGCCAAAAATAATGATGAGTCAGAGATTTGTCTAAACTCCTGAACATTGGCAGATTTTTGCGAGGGCACCCTTATACCAGCAGATGAAGCATAGTAGAAAGTTCGGCAACGTGGAGAACCGAAAGTATCACGGCGAGGATGTACATAAGGAACTCATATACAGCCACGGGAGTTTCAGTAAGAGAGGTTGCTGCAGCGGGGGAATAAATCCAAACAGTAAACAGAGCGGAGCTTTTGCGAGGAAACGTTGGTGAAAATTCTAATATATAAAAGATATGAGAGCCCGCGCGAGGGGGTTGAACTCAAAGAAGCCTCCGGGATTCAAATAAGTGGGGTTACGCGTGGTACCCGTGAGGGAATGAGGGGCGCAAAAGGGATGGGCGGGGGTTGAAGGAATCTGAACAGCCAACAACAAGCGCACAGCCTCCGACCTTTATTTAACCTTTTCTTAAAAGAGTCTTAGGAATCCCTCTTATCTGTAGTCGATGGCCCTTCAGTGTCGGCCCTTATACTTTCATTCTTTCGTACTCTTATATCTTTTTCCTTTGCCCCTCTCCCCCATCCCTCGTGTACATACATCGAACTTCATCGTCTTTTTCCTTTGCTTTCCGCCCGCTTCCCCCTGGAAACTCTTACGTTTTCGCGACGAGAATCATTATCCCTTCCGCGTTGTCGCGGTTTTCGGTTTAAGATTCTTCATTAAGAAAGAAGCGGGAATGGAATTAATTAAGGAATTAAAGGTCGACCTCTACGAAGAACCGCTATCAGCCGAAGTGGATTAAACCAGTTCTGCTGATCGTCACATTTTATTAATTCTGTGGGCAAACGATGAACCTCACAATCTGAAGGTGCACGTGGTCTTCTCACTCTTTGTAATAAGAGTTGCAGGCAATTTGTAATAGTTGTACATTTCAATAGTTGTATGCTAATCTTCAAAAGTATTTAAATACATGCAAAAGAGACTAAAATATTTATTTGCTTGATACATAATATTATTACTTTTATAATTAGGAAAAATAACATTCTTATTTTTACAAGTGACATAACGATGGCATACATATTTATTAATGTAGTTCACAATATCAGATAATTTAAATTCTAAGTATTGCCATATGCTAACCGTCATGTTTAGTAATGATAATCAGACGAATAAGCGAGTAACTATTGTATGAATAACATACAGAGCTGTTTGATTGCGTAAAATGGAAATGTTAACTGTAGGAGTTCGTAGCTGTGGTAATAGAAAGAACAAAATTCGGAAATGCTGCAGTTCCAAATGCATACGCGCCAAATTCTGTGAGTGCCTTTACGTCTGTTTTCCTTCGCTGCCTCCGACTCTGTCGTTTTCTATTCCCTTTCCTTTCTTTCCTCTACCTCACAGACTTTGGCCTGAAATGCCACGCGCTGGCGCTCCTGACTAAACACTGATAACGCGCGCCGCGGAATTTCTTTGCATGTTATAAACATACGTAATCGTACACAAATAAGATTAGCATAGGACTCGGCATGCTGGATTTGCAAGAGACACACGGCCTTCCGCCCGAGAGACAATCGTTTCGTAGCTTCGTGTGTAAAGGCAAAGTATTTTAAATTTATCTTTCAACGTCTTCGGTGTCCGATAGGATTTGATTCGAGAAGACCAAGCTTTGGTCGCCCTGCCAATTATTAGCAATATTGTAGAATAGCGCAAATTGATCTCACATGAGAATGATTTTATGTGCTTAGTATATAGTAGCCCGCTAGAAAAGCAGAAGTAAATTACGTAATTATTTTTTGTGAATTAACTAGTTTTTACGTCGTTTTTTTACACCCATCATTTATGCAACTGCATTTTAACATGGAATTTTATTGCTCTTTAACACGGATTTTTTATGACAATACAGTTATAAACAACATTGCATTATAAACACATTTATGCCACGCATGTTGTGATTGTACAATTATTTTTGTCGACTAGAACACAATTGACGAAGAGTCAGCAATTTTGCATCATTTGATATTTCAATGATAGTAGCTCGACAAAAGTTTTGTCATGTAAAGATGCAAAAAAAGAAGAAAGAATATATTCGCGGAATAAACACATCGCGGAAAACTCATACGAACGTCTTCGACAAGCTGTTTTGCTGTCCAATGGATCCTTGTGATGATAAATATTTGCACAAACGATGCGTCTCCGAGACACGTGTGTTTGTAGTAATTATTTTGTTGCGTGATGATTGTTTGTTATGCAATTCGGTCCCGACGAAGGCACGAAGTGCAAGGCCATCGAACACTCGAATTGGAAATATTTTCAACTGAACGTGTCTTGTATATCATTTCATATCATGCTTGTTGTACGTGATAATATAATATATATATATATATATTTAAGATAGTTGTTTACAAGAATAAATAGAGCGATATATAGGATGTTATTCTATAAAGATCATAACAACGTTTAAAAGTAGATTCCTAGTAGAAGTCATTTAAGATAAAAATCTAATACTAAAATGTCGGGCATGGAAAAAAAATTTGCCCTACCATAGCTAATTTTAGTTTGTTAAAATAGATTTACTGCCGTACTATTTTATGAACTACGGAAATGGTTTGCTGTTTCTGCTATAATATAAGTATCATAGCTAAGACTAACTACGATTTTGTATATCTTAACTGTCCATATTTGACACCTACCATTTAGTTACCACACACAGTTTTTAGTTATGACAGTTATATACTTGCTTTTTTCCGTGAGACTATAATAATTTTTAAATTATAAGCAATTAAAAGTTAGTGAATTAGTCGTACCGCTTTGCGCGTTCAGGTGTGATACAACATAAAGTGCTAAACGCGGAAGCTAATTATGTCACTTCTTGTTAATAACAATATAATGATTTGCGTGCGAAGATTATTATTTTTATATAATTATTAATATATATTGAAAAATTATAATTACCTCAATATTTCAATATTAGGATTTTTTTTTCTCAAAATGCTATTAAGTATCTCTTCTTCAGCAGTTACAGTTTTTATGAAATATTCTATATAAGACAAGTAGCTTACTCATTCGTTTCATTCACGATTGCTGATACTATTATACATTTCACATATACTGCAATAAAATATTTATATTAATTAACGTTATTGATACATAGCATCTTATTTAACATACCGTCAAAATGATATAATATAACGTGAAAAATAATTTAAATTATGCAATAATATAAATTACGTGCATATGTATAACAGCAAATGAAATCTAATCTTGGAAATTTACTTTGTGATATATATTTTTTTATATAATATTTTACAACAAATATTTTTATTGTGCAATAAAATTTAAATTATTTAAAGTTTCATTAGAAAATAATACGATTCGTCGCCAAAGTATATTAAATTCTTATATTATTTTGATGACATTTTGTGTCTGGTGTATGTTTAAATTATTTAATAATTTAAACATACACCAAATTATTTAAAAGTTATTGTAAGTTTAAATTATATTTTATACGTTTATGAAAAATATTAAAATAAAAAAACGACGTTTTTTAAAAACTGTTATCTTTATATTAGAAAATTTATTGATTATTATCGCTAAATTTCTAGAAGCGCAAAAGCTAGTTATTATTTCTACGACGAAATATATCTTAAGGTAATAAAGGGTAATAAATTTCTCAGATAACATTGTCTAAAAGTGCCCCATTATATTATACAATAACACAATAATAATAATGAACTTATCGAGACATCTGGAACGCGCTCAAAAGTTTCGACCCTCGCGAGAAACGAGCAGAAGAGAAGCTCGATTCCGCCTTTACACTCGACAATCTGCTTGATGATGGAACTTAATAAAACAAATCCCGCTGTGTAAACAGCCGAGGAGACTCTAACTGACGTCATTCAGACAACAGCGAGTTTTCCTTCGAGCCAGCCAATGATGACGGAGCAGTCGAGGCTGGTCCGCACGCTCGAATACTATTAGATAAGATCAATATTGTTCAAAATACGGTAGAAGTTTAACGCATGTACATTACGTGGCATTTATATCATGAATATTCCGCTCGGAGCTGTTCTTTTGCTCCCTCATGTCCCGCGTCTCTCACGCTATCTTTTTCATTTAACTCTCGTCTCTTATCTCGAAATTTGCATAAATATCAGCCGATTTTGATTAAAATATTTATAATATATAGTATGTAGTTAAGATTTTTGGTTTTTCACGACACGGAGTTACTATGATTTCTCTACAAGGCAGCTCGCAACAGCCTTTGATCGAGCTCTCGATCTCCATTTTCATATTGCAGGCTACTTCGCTGTTTGCAGCCCTGAAGCAGCAGCAACAGCAATCGCGCGACAGCGTCTTCTCGTCGCGGGACCGTGAGTGCCGCGACAGGGATCGCCTATCTACGGTCCGCAATCGCGACTCCGGCAGAAGTAATATAGCGGAGACCGGTGGCGGCAGCGGTGTTGCTGATCAACAGCAGCAACAGCAGCAGCAAGATCTCACTATCGAGTACCAAAGCAATGGGAAGCTCAGTCCCGCCGGACACGTAGTGACACCAGCACCCATGACCCAGCAAAAGCAGCCAATCATCACGCAGCAGTCGCAACAGCCCAGCTCAGGGGCACCAGGGCCCCAACCTAGCCCGCATCAAAGCCCACAAGCCCCACAGAGGGGTTCACCACCGAATCCTTCCCAGGGTCCGCCACCCGGTGGCCCGCCAGGGGCTCCGCCGTCGCAGACCCCCTCGCAGATGATGCTCAGCTCGGCGAGCGGCCTTCATCAGATGCAACAATTGCTGCAGCAACACATACTCAGCCCCACGCAACTGCAATCCTTTATGCAGCAGCACACGTTGTACATGCAGCAACAGCAACAGCAACATCATCAGGTAAATGCCATTCTTCAATGTAGATATTTAATCAATATACTTCAAATTTTAAGACATGATTAATCAATCGATGATTAATTAATTTTGAATCAAATTTTAATATTATATCCATTTTTGTTTTTATGTATATTATTTTGCAATATAAAATTTTTACCTTGATTTTCATCTTTTGCATTGTTTATTTTTTTAATTGCTTTAGTCACAACATTGTATTAAATTTCAGGATTCATCTTCCGATCATACATCTAATCAGGAGCGGTTTGGTTATTTCTCTTCTTTAAAGAACGTAAGTGAAATATTCCTTAACAATAATAAGTTTATCTAGATTATTATACGAATAATTTAAATAATTAAGGAAGAAGCCCACAAACGCGATCGCGATCTTAGATTTTAGTTTCTTTAATAACATTTCTATGCATTTTATGTACATTCTTTTAATTCTTTAAATTGCGCGCCCAACTGTCTGTTGAATTTACATCGCAATCACATTGAAATAATAATTAAATTAATAATTTCAAATTAAATTAATCGTCAGTTTTTATCATAACTTTAATAGCAACTTAATACCTTAACTTATTGCGACAAATATTCCTGAGATATTCCTAATTGTTTTATTTTACATTATATAAAAATATTGAGTAAAAAGGAAAAAGGCATTCATATTACATTAAGAGAAACAATTTAATAGTAAAAGCAATCAGTAATGCGATATAAATTAGATATAGCTAAAATGTTTTTCCAATTTTACCCCTTCCATCGATTTATTCATTATGTATGGTGTCACTAATGTACAATTTCGCTAATAACGTCTAATAACAACGTTAATCAATTAAAAAATTGACTAAGGTAGTAGTCACGAATTAAAGATTCTTGTGCAAAAAAATGATTCTATTTTCAACGAAAATAACTATTTCACAGTTATTTATTTGATGGCTATAAATTTGTCGGCTGAAATCTTTCATAACTTTTATACGAATAGTATATTTTCATTTCGTGTAAAACTCGATCAAAATACGCTCTGTGATGCAAATATAACATTGTAATTTAATGACATAGTATCTTAAATTTAACTCTTAATTGAACAAACGAAACGGAAACGCAAGACACTTTCGTGAGGAAGCTAATCTTAAAAGAGGTTTTGAATTTCGGTATACGCGCAATTCGGCGGACGGGAAGTTCGATGCTATAGCGAGAGGGTTGATACTCGGTCTGTGTAAACAGGTAGTCCCTTCTATATCGTTACGATAACAATACACGTCGCGCGAACCACTTTTGCTATCCAGCCACAGTGTTATCCTGGCGCCTACGATCCAATAAGCACTCTGATATTCCTTTTCAAAAATACCAACGTAAGCGACAACAAATATTTTTCATAGCACCGTGTCATTTATTGTAGCAGAAATTATTCTTTGAAGAGAAAGAAATGCGCCGAATCTCAAATTAGAGAACGTTTTTTTTTGTTCAATCATTTTCTCAGAAATTATTGGTCACGTAACAATAACTTTTAATGCTCACATAAAATTGGATTAGTAAAGACGAATAAATATTAGGTATAGGGAAAGAACACGGTTTTGCTGAAGTATTCGTACACGTGGAAAGAACGGTTTTGCATATCTAAAAATTTAGATACAGATATGAAAATAATTTTTGAATCATCAAAATGATTATGTAGGACGCTTAAATTGGTTACTAGAATGTTAACTTAATTTTTGCAGTATTATTATCAATCTTTAAATGTTCTATATAATTGTTCTGAAGATCCGATAAAATTATTTTCAGATCTGTATCTAGCTAAATTTTTAGATATGCAAAATCGTTCTTTCCACGTGTACGAAGTTTAATTGCAGATCAAATTAAAGGCCAGCCCTATTATAAGTATATGTTATTAGGTATACAACTTTGCTTCCGCCGTTTTCCTGATGGTTTTAGCGGTAAGTGGTGGTCGAAATAAATAGATCATAGACGTTATACAATAAACTTCTGTCAACATAACCCCATAGAAACATTAGTCGATTTGTCTGCATCATAAAGTTATTCTCGATTGAAAATATCAGTTTACGAGCCAAATTCTCGTCATTTGCGGGAGGTTTTAATTTTTTGCTTCAATATGAAGAAAATCTGCGGCTGAGGCTCATCGAATGCTCTCAAATACTTATGGTGAGGCCACTATTAGAGAAAGAACATGTCGTGAATGGTTTCAACGCTTCAAGAACGGTGATTTTGACCGAAGACCGGCATAGCGGTGGAAGAGAGAAAGTTTTCGAAGATGCAGAATTGGAGACATTACTTGAGCAAGACTCGTGTCAAAATCAAGAAGAATTGGCACGATCATTGGGAATGCCTCAACAAGCCATTTCAAAACGCCTCAAAACCATGGGAATGATTCAGAAGCAAGGAAATTGGGTGCCGTACGAATTGAAGCCGAGAGATGTTGAACGGCGTTTGTTTGCTTGTGAACAGCTGCTTGAAAGGCAAAGACGGAAGGGATTTCTGCATCACATTGTGACTGGGGACGAAAAATGGATTCATTTCGATAATCCCAAGCGCAGAAAATCATGGGGAGTTCCCGGCCATGCTTCCACGACGGCTAAACCGAATATTCACGGCTCCAAGGTCATGCTCTGTATTTGGTGGGACCAGCTCGGCGTAGTGTATTATGAACTGTTAAAACCGACTGAAACAATCACAGACGATCGGTATCGAACGCAATTGATGCGTTTGAGCCGAGCATTGAAAGACAAACGGCCGCAACGAGAGACACGATAAAGTGATTTTGCAGCATGACAATGCTCGACCCCATGTTGCGAAAGTGGTCAAGACATACTTGGAAATGTTGAAATGGGAAGTCCTACCCCACCCGCCGTATTCTCCAGACGTTGCTCCCTCTGACTATCACTTGTTTCGATCAATGGCACACGGTCTGGCTGACCAGCACTTTCGGTCTTATGAAGAAGTAAAAAATTGGATCGATTCGTGGATAGCCTCAAAAGATGACCAGTTTTTTCGACGCGGGATTCGTACGCTACCCGAAAGATGGGAAAAAGTAGTGGCCAGCGATGGACAATATTTTGAATCATAAATGTATAACCAGTTTTTTACAATAAAGCCTCGAATTTCAGAAAAAAATGGCGGAAGCAAAGTTGTACACTTAATACTTGAAAATTTCTTGAACGTGTCAAGATTTATTGTGGGCAAAAATGTATGAAATATACAATAGATACAATAGATACAAAATATAAAGAAATCGTATGCTTAACATGAACATGGAAAATGCTTATTAGCGAGACCGTGTTTGCACCCATTAATCGTGCAGAGTGTTCGTTTATAGTAATATGATAAAGGGTACCTCGAAGTTTGTTTTAAAATATCCTCGAGGCGCACGAGAGAGACCGAGAAATGAAATAGGCGGAGGGAGTTAGTCTGGAGGGTGAGGTAAGCAATTAAGCATTGCCATCAGCCGTTGTGTCTCGTTGTTTGTCTTCGAGCTACCCATCAACTGCCCTCTATCTTCTTGCCTCCTTGGTGCCGCGAATTATCTGCGCCCGTGATTTATTCATCATTCCAAGACGTAAGTGCCGCCCTTTTTTCCTCTCCTTTTTATTCAGGCCAACTAATTTGGCAAGAGAGCGAAATGTTCACTTTTGTGCCTGACGTTTAATAATAAACTGTCGACAATATCATTTGATTTGTAATTAATTATTCCTATATCTTTTTTTTAATTAAGAGACATTCTCTGCAGAAAAGCTATAATTAATATAATATTTATAAAATGAAAATGATAATGTGTGGAATTTTCTTCCTCCTTTTTTCCCTTTCTTTTTTTATAAATTATACATATCAAAAATTAAATAAAGGGATATATTGGACAAATAAAAGTTAAGTGCGGTTAGTAGGACGCAATTTAAATCTATTATCAATTGTATTCAATTGCAAAGCTTCAAACGTTTCGGCTTTTGAGCCGTTATCAGCGATTATAAATTTTATATATATAGATATATATAAATCTAATGCCTTACCTTAATGAATCTTTAACTTCGCGATTATATTCTTCCAGTATAATCACGTCGAGGATCGCATTGTTCATTGTTTATGTATATTAAATTATTCGCTTAATGTAATCAATTATGTAATACAATGTAATATACAACATTAATATACAACATTAAACTAGTAAAGTGATATAAAATACTTTATACATTTGCATATCGCTTCTGATTTGTTTTAGCATCAGCATCAACTTGCGGAACTCAACAAGAAACAATTGGAACAGGCAATGCAACAACTGCAGGAACAATTACAGCTGAACTTATTTCAGCAGACACATTTATTGCAAACAGCGGACAAAAAGAAAGCATCGGCGCCTCTTCAGCAACTAGCGATTCAACAACAGCAACTGATACAGCAATTACAGATTACACAGAGGCAATATCTGTTACAGCAAGGACTGAGTCTTCAAGGCCATAATCCTTCTTCAGGTATTTATTTAAATAAAATTAATGTGCTTGATTGAAAGATATTTCGATATGCGTTAATAATTTTTAAATACGATTAGATAAAGTGCGAACATAAGATATATTTATGATTCCAATAGAGTGTATTACCAATATATTTTCAACGAAATATAATACGAAATTCAACGAAATTAAAATAAACTATAAGTTTTATAATAGTGATTATTAATCTTTTACATTGTATCAATCAATAGTTATGATATATTAAATATTACTTCAGTAAAAAGATTTGAAGTGTTTAGACTTAGAACAGGTCAAGTGTATAATTAAACTACATTTTAAATACGAAATCTCATCTAGATAAAATCTTAGATTTGATTAAGTCTGTTCTTTATATATAAAACGAAGAATTATTCAAAAAGGTGATCAGGATTTTTTTTTAATTCTTAAAAATGATATTTGTATCTTATGAATGCGTGAAGTTTTTTCAAAGATTGTTAGTCGTTGTTTTAATATCTTGCACGTGTTCTGCATCAGTACGTATATATCTCTATCATCAAGAAGTCAACGTTTTTATCAACGCATGTTCACGTTCGTGATAAAAGGATTATGCAAACGTATATTTTTAACTCGCGTGTTATTGTCACATTCTAACACGATTACATTGCATAAACATAGGAATTCGTTATCAAGACAATCACATGCTGCAACTGAACACATGAGTGTATTTGCTGCGACGCGTGACATACTCGTGTCATAGGAATCACATGTCATCAGTAGCACGTACGCAAAGACAAAGATAAGCTTTGATATTGGAAGCATCCCTTTAGTTTTAAACTAAAACGATTCAGTATCTCCTATATAATCCTTTCGAATTTCTGTGCACTATGTCTCTTTATTTCTTTATTTTTTTCTTCACTTTAATTTCATTTACTTCTTCTCTTCTTCCATTCTCCCTTGCGTCTCCCTTTCTTGTTTTTTACCCTGAACAAAACTTTTATACAAAAGCGTTTCGATTACAAACCGATGCTCGCTCCAACGATGTTCTCTTTTCTGATACTTGTACGTATAGGTACATGATACATATGTTCGAAAGAATCGAAATCATTCGAAATAGCAACCGTGATTCATCGTCAGACGTTTCAAATTCAAGAGTTCATACATGAATCTAGTCATTATTTTCAACAATGCATCTGGCCCTTATTCCCACTGTTTGCTACGTTCTTTTTATTTTCTTCATTTCTCAAAAATTTAACTATCTTATCTTTTAATTTTATCGTTCTTAGCATTTTCAATTCCTCCTATTTTCAATTTCTTCTTGTCGACGCGTTGCTTCGTCTTTCATCCACATGAACATTTGCTTCACGATTGTATCAAGATTGCACTGAATATTAATTGCGGATATTGTTTATCTCTCAGTTAACAAGCTGATATTATTTATCGTCATTTTGACGTTAAAATGAATACTAATAATGACAAATTGTTTGATAAGCTACTCTGTTTAAATATTTATGATAACAAACTTTTTTTTAAATTAAGATTTTTACTGATCATGTGATATGATCATGTGATGCAATATATATATTTCTAAGCAATTACATTTTCTTTTGATTTCCTATCTTAATTACGAAAATTCAACAATATAAATATATTTTTTTTTATGGAAATTATGGCGATGGCGATTATTATCTTTTCGCTTAATCATTTTCAAATGGATACTTTTTTCTAAATTAAGCAGGTTTGCCACCAAGTGATAATCTACCATCATGGAAGTCAGAGCCCTCGGATACACCGGAATCCCACCAGAATTCCAACGTGGCGAAATCGAATTCTGGATTGAACGGTAAAAAAACAGTTTCACGCTTCTCTGTTGATCTCAAGCTCGTTCGTTTTTGTATTCTAATTTCTCCATGCTTATGTTTTATTTTTTTGCGAATGCGACGTTCGTTTACCGAACTATCGCAGGCATTCTGAATTCGATAGCTTCGAGCCGACGATCCGAGGTGAATGGTACAACACCGATGGACGAGAAGCCGCTGGATGCCTCCTGCAACGACAAGGTTCATCCCCTCTATGGCCATGGGGTGTGCAAGTGGCCAGGCTGTGAAGTAATTTGTGAAGACTATCAAGCATTCCTTAAGTGAGTTTTTCGATTTATTTTTTTTAAATATATTTTTTTAATTTTCGACATCTAAGGGTCAACCGTTATTCAACTTCCATAAATTCAGTAAAATTTCCTTCCAGCTATCAAATAACAAATTTTTGTGAGTGCAAGTATTTTTAATATTTACTTTAGTACTTTTTACTAATAATATAAAGATTCAGATTAATAACGAATCGAAATAAAAACGCGATATATTTTAGAGAGATAAACTATTTTCAAACAGATAAGTGAACGTAAAAAAGAAAACTGCGAATATGTATGGGAAACTGAAGAAATAGAAGGAATAAAGTCGGTAATTAAATTGGGGGGAATGAGGCAAAGAAAGTGTAGAAAAATCGCTCGTGTCAGCATATCTCATTGACATCAGGCGTTTTCGCTCATCGGTTTCGAGCCGCAACCGCAAGCTCGTCGTAGCTCCATCCTATCCGAAAGATCCTTCGTAATCACGTAGCTCGTCTCACTGCAAACTCTCCCTCAAACAAGCCGTTACTTAAAAAAAAAGAAAAACGCTAATTACCTTTGTCTCATTAATATTCACGACATTCGACCGCATCGTTATGCCCCTCAGTCTAATCCCTTTCTGTCCCTTTCCCCCGTCAGTTCGTTCGTTCAAACTCCCTCGACCTTCCCGCATCTTCGTTCTTTCAACCGACCGATCCGCTCCTCTCGCCACCCTTTTCCACTCCCGTCGATACAGCCTTCCGTTCTGTCGACGAAGAAGGATTACGGAAATTCTTAAATACGGAATCTTGTTGGCGTTGTTGGCACCCCCATCCTCTACCTACGACGCGGCGAAGCTTAATTTTCTGTCCTGCCGTCTCCTGGGGGTTTGAGCTCTTGTAGCTCGGAGAATGGAAGCGTTACGTGCTCGGGATTTTTCGTGGCTTTCTGACGCGCAGATTTTTTTGCTACTCTTGCAAGATAATTCTGACAGTTTTTCTCATCTTTCCATGTTTTTTGTTGATAAACATAGGCTGCAAATCACTTAAATTTTAATTAGTTATTTTAAAGTCAAATTAAGTTAAAGATTGCAGAGTTTTTAAATTAATGATATAAATCTTTATTAGATCTGCCACGACATTATGCTAAAATATTAAATAATTTAAAATGAAATTTTTGTGTTTACATGAAACAAATGTAACGATAATAAATTTAATTGAAAATTTATTTGAATTTTATATATAATTTTACTTATATTCTTTTTTTATTATTTAATTTAATTTAACAAAAGGATAAAAAATGATTAATTATTATGTTAAAATATTATAAATAGTTTAATCTTATCATTTTCTTAATATTAACATCATAATATTTGCATTGAGAGAGAGAGAGAGAGAGAGAGAGAGAGAGAGATAGATAGATAGATAGAGAGAGAGAGAGAGAGAGAGAGAGAGAGAGAGAGAGAGAGAGAGAGAGAGAGAGGGGATTGAAACTGTAGCATGTTGAATTAAAATTAACCGTAATTAATCCTGAAATATTGCAGACACTTAAATACAGAGCACACATTGGATGACCGATCGACAGCGCAAGCCAGGGTCCAGATGCAAGTAGTGTCGCAGTTAGAAATTCAGTTGCAAAAAGAACGAGATCGACTAGGCGCTATGATGCATCATTTGCATATGGCAAAACAAATGGCTTCCCCGGAACCACCAAAGTCATCGGAGTCATCGGTAAATTCCCTTTATTATATTTATAATTAATATTGTTCTTTAGGTTAGATTTTTTATTTTATTGAATTATTTTATTTAATCATTCATTTATTATTAATCCATATTAAAAATAATGAAAACAACACGATGATGTCTATAATTTCTTTCGTAACAATTTAATTTCTTTATATAAAAATTGTATTCCATTAAGCTGAGTCATAAATAATTTCCGTTTTAGTATATGAATTTTATTTCTCAATAAAAAACAAAAAATTATATCTTAAGCAATTATATGTTCGCAATGATTTGTTCGCAATTATTTGCAATGATTTGTTGCCATTCCACTAATTGTATTTCTAATGATTTTAAAGCACCATGCATGGAAGTTTATTGAGCGTCCTCGTCTGGGTTTATTTTTTAACAACGTACATATCTTTAGAATGAAATTTTGTAAACCAATTTTGTACTTGCCTGTCAGTTATACCATAAACATTGCAAACTTTTTTTTGGCCTCCGTAGCATTTTTTTCTACCATAATATTATACGATGAATATGCATTTTTATTTCCTTCAATTCAGGATTAAGAAATTATTACTTTATTTCGATGTGTACACTATTACTATCATTATGAGATTTTTACGAAATTTACTTCAAACATGATTTGACCTGTCAAGTATAATGAGTTATTAACGTGATGATTGGCTATAAATGTATTATTATTCTCCGTATAATTTATTCTCCGAAATGGCAATTATTTATGATTCAACCTAAGGTATTGAATTTTTTCAACATTATTATAACATAAAATTTAGATTAGATTAGAGTTTGTTGTACCAACTGTATTAACAAAAATATATTAATTTATATTAACAAAAACAATTTATGCATACTACTGTCGTCTTTTCTTATAGCTTCATAAAAAAAAAATTAATTATCATTAGAGAATTATGAGAGTAACTTTATCTATAAATTTGCTGCAAATTAAAATTATTAATTGCATTATGAAACAAAAATACACCATGAAACAAAAGAAAATCTTTATCATAAATCGCGATTATAATACGCTTAAATATCCGCTATAGAAAGAATACTGAAAACTGAATCTGGAAAAATGGTTCAACTGCGATGCGTAAACTTTCTTCGCTGTGGTATTGCTATGAGATCGTAAAGCCGGATTTTCACGACAGACCAGCTCGTTGGAAGATTTTACGAGCTTCTCGTGGCTCGCTAACAACAACGCGAGTTTCAGTTTTAACGCGCCGCCGAGTCGAGTGCTAATTTATACATAAAGTTTGCATTAATAATTCATCGGAGCTGCGGTAATTTTATATCGCCTTAATTAAAACCCCTAACAAGTTGGGCAGTCAGAGAATACCAATATCGCATTAGCCCTCCGCCGGCGACAACGCTCGACGGTCGACGGCTTAATTATTTTAACGCAGCTGTGTGAGTAATTTCGCTACGAAGATCAGATTGCTCGTATACTATGATATGTAATAAGATATCCATATGGCAACTGCATTTATTGATATTCATATTTATATTGCAAGTGCTTTAAATATGTACATTACATTTATCATGAAATTTCTGGAGCAAAAGAAATGAGATATTTCTTTGTTATTAGATCTAAAAGACAAATCTTGCAATGATTTTAAAAGTTACAACCGTAGAGTTTTAAATTTTTCTGAGTTTATGAAAAATTAGTTAATCAAACTTTGGAAATTGCTCTGCATAAATTACATAAAAATATCTTTTTAACTACAATGCTTTCATTTTCGTTCTAAAATGATCTCTGTTCAAGAGAAATCTAAAATGATCACAGTTTATATTCAATTCGTTTATATCTTTATCATGACTGTTTTTGTCTCGTCTGCCAAATTTTTTGAATTTTGGGAACTCTCTTTTTCAGACGGGCTCGAATTTACCAAAGCTAAATTTTTCCACTGCGCTAATGAGTCAACCGCCACCTAACTTTGGAGTCTCTCAGGTGTCACCAGTATCCATGTCCGCGCTAGTATCTGCCGTGAGGTCGCCTGCGAGTGCTCAATTGCCTCCATCGGTTGGCAGTGCCCCGATGCCACCACTTCCGACCATACCCAATATGTCTAGTTTACCTCCCATGCCCAACATGCCTGGCAGCATGCCGAGTATGGCTGGTCCAATCAGACGGCGCATCAGCGACAAGTCAGCTCTTTCTTTGGCAGGAGGTAAGGTCATCTCTTTATTTCATAATCTTTAATTATCTTGCCTGACAGGTGAGATTTGAAATAATGTCTTCGAGAACTAATGGGGGCCAGAATCATACGTTTTGCGTTACCAAGGTCAATTTTGTTTTGAAATCAATTTTGCAACAGTTCTTCCGTTTTACCTGTTTCAAGGAAAATGGTTGATTCTGTGATCTTAATAGATTGTTGGTACGTTGAAATATCAATGTATAATGTATAGTATAACTCGTTAGTCGCTTATATTAATAATAAAAATTGAAATTAAAAATACATTAAAGGATATTGAATTATTAACAATTCGTTTTAATAAAACGTAATTTCAGTTATGTACATATATATTCAATTATGTATATATACATATACATAAAGAAAGATAAAAGAAACAAATATATAGATATATTAAAATTTTCTTGCCAAATGGTATTAACTGCGATTTGCGAAATATATATACACTATATACCTACATACTATTTATTTATCGAATTTAGTGATATTAATTCATTCCTAATTGAATATATCCCTTTTTTTAATTCAATTCCTATTGTATAATTTTTATATCTTATTTATTTATATATATATATTTATAGGAGCAAATTATTAACTTGTAAATTTAATGTCTTTAATTAAAATATTTTCGATGTAACCATTTTCCGAACGTATAGCTTTTATGATTGAAACGCATACGAGAGCTTGGAACTGGATTAATATCGTCTCAAAGAAAGGCGAAACGAAAGAAATGACAATTCAGAAATTAAATACTATTCGTAGGACTGTATGACGAGGGCACTGTAAGGCGCAGAGTAGCCGTCGATAGATCTGGAATAGATATTAACGAAGGTAACGATAACACAAAATCATATTCGGAGTGATGCGCGAGCTTCGAAATACCATTATGAAGAATTTCTGCACTGCAACTCTTATTAAAGTATTAATAAGAGAAGCTATCTTTTTCAAATTATATTATATAGATATGTGTCTAGAAAATAAATAATATATTATATAGCTATGAAAGTTATAAAACATTATTAATTTAAGAGAAATATGATAAATGAAAATTGCATGATGTCGATAATATTTCTTAATTTTCTTCGTAAACAGTATAGTTCTATGAGATCATATTTACAATTTTAATCCTGCGTAATAAGATAATTATATATTTATACTTTTGAAATTATTTTTGGCATTTCGAGGTTCGTCACAAAAATATATTCACTCCGACGAAATAAAAAAAAATACCGATCCTGTAGCAAGTGCTCTTTACGGTCCTCTATTGGTCTCGTGCCTTTTCCTGTCGTAAATTGTACCACACGCACAGATTACTTATGGTAGCGACTATGTCACGTGAAGCGACAGTGTTCAACACCTTGTTGGCGGTATAAAACGCATAGGTGTGTAGAGAGGGGATGCAAGGAAATTTATGCGATGAGAAAAGAAATTATATGAGATGAAAAAAAAAAATTCTTTCATCCGCCAGCTCGAACCTCTTTCTTATCGATGCTTTTGTTGTTTCCTTATTTCTTGTGCTGCCTGCCCTCCCCACCGTGTAGGGCTGCCCTACATGCTGGAGCGTGCTGGCCTTGACGTCCAACAAGGTACTGTCAACCTATTTTCCACACATTCCCTTTTGTGGCTTACAAATTTTCTTGCGAAAATATGCACCTTGCATGAACACTTACTTCCTTTCTTCATCTTCACCTCTGCCTCTCCACGTTCATATAACAATGACTTTGCTAAAGTATCTAACAAAATTTAGCTAGATACAGATCTGAAAATAGTTTCGTTGGATTATCAAAATAATCATGTAAGACACTCAAGCTAGAATATCAAAAATTTTTTTGCATTGCTCATCATGTTTGAGTTTCCTATGTAATTATTTTGATAGTAAGAAAATTATTTTCAAATCTGTATTTACTTAAATTTTTAAATATTTCAGCAAAATTATTCTTTTTATGTAGCAACAATTTTTCTAATTTTAATATAATTCTTGAAATAATTAAAATTGCGAGTATTCCAAAATCCCCATGCAAACACTTGAGGATAAATCGATTGGCTGTAATTTATTTTTTTATTACTTTTCTTTTAAGCGCGAAAGAAGTGATCCATATATTTACTTTGAACTACTTTTATTTTTGGCAAACAAATATGTGAACTTCAGTTTTAATGTTGTAAATGTACAATCACCTCTAAAAAGAGTAGTTCCAAAAAAGTTAAATGTGAAGAAGAATTTCGATGTTTGTATTACCTCCTTCTGATCTTTATGAAATTTTTCTTTTATAAAAGCATGCGTCTGTACATATTTCAGCAGATATAAAAATTATCGTTATTTTAGAAGAATCCATTTTTTATTCTTAATATTGATATTTTGCATATAATTTCTTTCTATGAAGCCTTATTATTAGATATATATTTTGCATATAGTTTTTAATTTATTTGATGACCAATTGCTATTTTCAAATTTAGAAATCCATTTAAATACTAAAAAAGAAAATTTAGAAAAACATAATTTAATAAAAAATGTGAAATATAAAATTGATATATATCTTATTATGCAATTCAAAATATATTTATAACTTTTCAAACTTATTTAATATTTAATACAAATATTTAAAAATACTTTAATATTTAATATAAATATTTAAATCGATTAAATTTTTTTGAAAATATCGTAAAAATATGCATAGCTTGATTTACTCTTCGTCATTTAAGAGCAAAATTTTATCATAATTTTATGTGACCAGCACAATGTTTGCTTGTTTGTGTGATCCTTGTGTTCAGATCTTATTGCGTAAAAAAAATAATTAAACAAGTATTACTTGTTATTATTATAATAAAAATATTAGCTTTCGTTACCTGCTATTATTTTTAATAACGTAATAGGATAAATGAAATTTGTTGCGTCCGGTTTCAGAAATTCAGCGAAATAGGGAATTCTACAAGAATGCAGACGTCAGACCACCGTTCACGTATGCATCCTTAATTCGGCAGGTGAGTAGATAATATAATTGGCGAAAGATTCTCCGGATATTGCATTTTCCCATCGCGTCGCATTATTTTAACAAATCATTGTGAGGATTTTCTTTAACAACATAAAACAATTTGAATGCTTATATACCTATTATCGTGATTATTTTAATAATTTCGAGAATATACTGAAAATTAATTTTCACTTTATTTATTAAAATTAATATTATTAATATTATTAAATATTATTCGGATTTAATAATAATGTTTATATTGTTCATTATATCTTCTTAATAATTATTTAGGTGTAATAAAATTTATTTTACTTATTAATTTTATATATTATATTTTGTTAAAGAATTTTAACATTTTCAAATCATTATTTATTATAATCTAAAAGTACAAATTTTGCACAATATACGAACCGATATTACACGTAAGTCTCTTCGTTTGTGAACATTTAAGTACCTTAGCCATGATGTTTTGCCTCTCAGAATAGAGCAAGTTAATATAATTATAATATTGCTCTTTTCATAGTCTATCATCGAATCTCCTGAGAAACAGCTGACACTCAACGAAATTTACAACTGGTTCCAAAACACATTCTGCTACTTCCGGCGCAACGCAGCAACGTGGAAGGTATATTTTATAATTCCAATAGTATAATTATCCAATTGTTTCAAAACAAGAAAATTAAATAAGAAACAGATAAAAGCTTTTGACTTCAAGATTCCAAAATGTAGATTTCTTATCAGAATTTTTTTCTAATTTTTCATGCTTGCAGCTAGTAATTTTTACAAGGCATAAAATATTCCAAGCTTATTATAGCAATTTTATTTCTCCATAAGAAAACCGGAAGAAGTTTCCAAACATAATCTTTAAATAGCGAGAGAGTTACGAGTAAAGTGGGGAAGTGACTCTCTTTTAACTGGATGAAGTTAGCACGAATCTGTTTGTGCAGCGGGAGTCAAGGATAAAACAAGGATAAAACAATCACGCAATTTGTATTTATACGAGCGTGTTAAGCTGAATGCGCTTAACAAGAAAAGATGACAGCTTATTGAGAATTTCGGATAATTATATATGTATTGATTTGGATTAACAGGCTAAGTGACGTGCCGGGCAGAGCAGCTGGTAATGATAGTTGTATTGCTTTCTCGAATAAGGGGGGAAAACTGGTAACATGTGAAATATGACATATTACGAGTCATTTATGAGCCATCTGTCATTATATTCTTCCTTGTTTCCCCTCGTTTGCAGACCACTCAATAGCATCGCGTGTCAGAATAACAGCAATTCTCTTAAACTAATAATAAACTAATAGTCCAATAACTAAACCAATAGTAAATAGAATTGGAACGTCCTTACAGACGATTATTGCATTACACATTCCTATAAACACATATTACATACGTCAATTATTTTATCGTTTAAAATGATCGTTGTCAATGTATCTGAATGAGAAATGTATTACCTGCAAAAACGTATTATATTAAATAATAGTAGAGATATATAAGTATTTTATAGATGATATTTTATAGAGATCTCATGAATCGCTTTATTCTGACATAATAGACTTTATTCTAAATAATTACGACGGTTTGAATGATTATTTGAATGATTATCATTATTTACTTAACTCTGGAACGAATCGACCGAATAAATGCGAAGCGTTTATAATATAGTAATATAAATTAATATATTCCGCGTCTCTCTACTCAGGTATCCAAAGGCAACGCAATATAATGTGCCGATGGTTCATGATCGATTTGTAAGCCGACGTGACAAACCGCTTGTTGGCAAGAGTGTTTGCGCGCGTGCGTTTTTGCGTGTGTGCGAGTGTGCGTGGAAGTAATTGACGTTTGCCATGACGCTTCGCCTCGCATGGTTATGTGTATATGAAAACATAAAGAAAAAACGCAAACAGGTTTGCAGCAGAGAGTGGAGGGAGTGAGAAGACGTGAGCGGAGCAGAGCCAAGGAACCAACAACGCCGGTGATAGCGGATGGCGACAAACACGTCATCGTACGGCCGCGTCGCGCGGCCTCGTCGAATTTTATATTCGGCCCTGCGGCATGAATAATTGTTGTCGTTGCCCCTAGATTTAGATGACTAGCTGTGCATTAACGATAAAGGAATGCCACAAACCGTGTCTCTTTCGATTAATCATTATTTTGGTTCGTTATTCCTCATGCGGCCTTCGACGTCGCGATTTCATTGCCGATTTCCTTCTAACAGCGATCGTCATCACCGATCATCGTCATCGATCATCGTCGCCACCGTCATTATTATTGATGGATATCGCGTTATTAATTATCGCTGATTATCGGTTGGCTAGACTTTATATTATTATTTGTTTTGTATATGTCACGCGATGCCGATTTCTGTTTTTTCTTTGTTGGCTGCCACCTGGAAGACTTGCCCGGCTCTTTTTTTAAATAATAAATTCAGTTGTGACTGAGTAGTTGCATTTATATAAGTATCTTTTAAAATTCATATACTATTACACTTGCGTAGTAATTTGCGCTGCTTTTACTTGATATTTATTATATTTATTCAGTTTGTATTATTTTATTTGTTCGCTTAGCATTTTTGAAACTCTATTTTACATATGTTCATAAAAGCAGCTTTTTTAAGAACGCTATAAAAAGTATTTGTTAATCTGCATAATCTGCGTAATTTAAGTTGTTGAAAAATATGCTATCCCGAATAAAAAAAAAATAGAAACAATACAGCAATATTTAAGTTTACGATACAAATTTAAGTTTAAGGTGGCAGCTTTGCTTGTATTCTTCAAGAATGCTAGCTGTTGCATCCATCTTTAAATGACAATAAAATTATCAAATTAATTTTTCTATCATAAATGAAATATCCTCGAACAATCTGTACATTATATAACGTTAGTGAAAAAAATTTTTTTTAATATAAAATAGAACCTGTGGGTATTATATATTTTTTGAGGAATATTTTTTGTTTATCTAATATGTTAGATTTCATAAATATAGGATAGAAAATATTTTCGTAATTTATTTATATGACATATTTGATTTTAAAAAGTGATCATAAAAATGTATCTTTCGTGTCTTCAAAGATGGCTGCCATAGCTCGCAAGAGCAGCGTTGTCGAACAAGTCATCCTAAAATTTATCTAGGTCAAAATTATTATCTATAAAGACTTGAATCGTAATAAAACGAGGAAATACAAGATCTAGGTTATAACTAGATCGAGGTCATAACTATAAGACTGAAACTATCATTTTGTACAAAAGTACGTCAAGTCATAAAATATTCGGGAGCTCGATTGTGTGTACCTTCTCTATAACATTTAAGTATATAAAATGAATGAGCAAACATGCATTATGGAATTAATAACTTCTATTGAAGTTATATTATAACTCTTTAATTATTATTGCTCGTATTTTTGGCAATACAAATGAATAAATGAATTTGAGTATCTCGGTAAAAACATGATAAATACGTTATTTCAGTATTTAGCGGCAGATAAATTTTGTTTCATTCTATTCATATACGTCTCTATTATCATCGCGACAAATTATAATCCTATCAGAGCCGATAGTTAAAAATATATTGAGAACTTCGTTGGAAATATAATACTTTATATGAAAGAGCTCTAAAAAAATTTGAAATATATAATGCAAAATAAATTCGCATAATATTAACTCAAGATATTGATACATCATTGCAGTAAACATATCAGGAGATATATTCAATCAAAGTTCTGCACAAAGTGTCTACGTTGTAATACTCAATGAGATCGTTCGCAACGCTGCTCGTTGGCACCTTGGCACCTCGACAAATCATACGGCACACGCACAATATCACACGTCTCACTTAGCAACCTCGCGCCTCGGTCTCACGATCATCATCCATTCTTGCCTCATCAGCGTGATCGGTCATCATCACCCGATGTCGAGGACTCTCTACCGCCTGCGTAACCATACAGCCGCACGTATACGTACACACACGCGCCACGAATCGCCATGAACGACCGTGATCCTTTCCCCCTTCGCCGACTACCGGGATCGTGATTGAGTTGGCTTCGTTCGTTTTTTGCGTTGCTTATTTAGTCTGTGTATTATTTTGTATAGAACGCAGTGCGACACAACCTGTCTCTCCACAAATGTTTCATGCGAGTCGAAAACGTGAAAGGGGCCGTATGGACGGTGGACGAAGTGGAGTTTTACAAGAGACGCCCACAGCGCGCTTGCAGCACGACCGGGTACGTTGCCCCTCCCCATGCCCCATCGATCAGAAAAAGAAATAATTACAACCGCGCTTTTTACTCTCTTTATTCTCTCTCTCTCTCTCTCTCTCTCTCTCTGTCTCTTTCACTTTCTCTTTCTCTCACACCAATATTTCTTACCGCTCCTTTAGCTTCCCTCCTCTCGGAGCGGAGATCAACGAAACTTGAAGCCCGCATTCTTTCCTTTTCCCCGATGTATCAAGGGGATAATTTTCTCACAAACTTCCTTATGATTTTATCACCGTTTTTTCCCGAAATCCTTCCTTTATATATATATATAT